ATAAAACCTTATCATAAGCTACGGGATTTATAGATCAGAGTTTAAAAGAGAATTCGGAAGTAATAATAATACAGCTGATGCCATCTGTCGGCAGAAAAGAACACTATCAAGAAGTCTGCTGGTAAATAGTAGCCAAAAGATACAGCTTATGCCATCTGTTGGAATCAAATTGCACTATTAACATTTTACCCTTCAAAATACACCTAGCGCCATCTCTGATTTTTCCAACGCACTAAAAATATCCAAACAGCAGCCCATAAGGCGGGTTGTTGTGCTGAAGTAAGAAGTCCCCCCCACCTCCCACCAGCCTCCATATCATTGGTAGATATTATTTGTTGACATTCACCACAGCCAATCACAGGCAAGGGATCAGCTAAAGGTGCCGCATCCACTTAATAAATTATCATTGTTCTGCACACCAGCCCTACTTATGATATGCTGTTTCAACTTTAATCTACCAAAAACGTGAAGTGTTAATTATTTAAAAGTATAAATAAAGTGATAAATAAATATTGTAGGATATAACAGGTGTTATAGAACAATGGTTTGGCTACCAAACTTCTCACGTCTTCAGTGGGTGTTGCCACACAAATACTACTACTACTAATAATAATAATTATAACATCGGTGATACGATTCTCCGCCCTCTTATTGGACTACATTATTCAGTTAGATGAACATTTCTGTCAGGGGCAAAACATATTGTGCAAAAGGACATATTTCTTAGTTTGCATTTCATTCCTAGAAAGAGTGTTGGCATTCCCTGCAACAGCCAATCATAAGTCCACTTATGGATGTCAACGAACAAACTAACATTAAACATCGAAAAGATTTACTACATCTTATTTGGAAGCAAATCATCAAATGCAATTCAGCTACAGATAGACAACATTAACATCAGTAATAAAAATGATGGCAAGTTTCTTCGCCTATTCCTAGACAAGAGACTCAACTTCAGCACCCACATTCATCACATAACTAACAAAGTCTCTAAGACAGTTGGTATACTCTCCAAAATCAGATATTATGTTCCTAACTCTGCTCTCCTCTCACTATATTATGCACTAATCTACCCCTATCTTAATTATGGTATCTGTGCATGGGGGTTTACCACTGCAAACCACCTTAAGCCCATCATCACACAGCAAAAATCTGCTATCAGAATAATAACTAACTCTGCTTTCAGACAACACTCAGCTCCCTTGTTTAAATCTCTAAACTTGCTAAATATTAACTCCCTCCACACATTCTCTTGTGTCAACTACATTTACAAAACCCTGTTCTTAAATGCAAACCATGCTCTGAAACTCTCCCTGGACAGATGTAATAGGACCCATTATCACCACACCAAAAATAAATATCTCTTTGATATCCCCAGGGTCAAACTTAATCTGTGTAAACACTCTATGCAAATTAAGGGACCTAGTCTATGGAACTCACTCCCTAGTGAATTGAAAAACTGTAAAACTTTTGCCTTATTTAAAAGCAAAACCAAAAAGTACCTAACTTCATCTTCTTAGTTTCCTACACTGAGCTTTAAATTTGCTCTGTACCTAGTGTTACCCAATCTCCTAATTTTTATGTAATATCAAACAACCTTATCATTGTGTTCATTGCTGTCTTCTTTTATGTGCTAGCCATATGCTGTATTGTGCCTACCAATTTGTTGTCAACTACCATTCAAGCTGTCATTCCAATCAATCTTAGCTACCTATGTGCTTTAATATACTGTACCTACAATTATCTCTCATCTTTTTTTTTTCATTTCATGTAATCTGTTATCATTTTTTTGTCTATAAATTTTGCAAGTATTTACCTCCTTAAAATTTTCTTAGATTAAGGACCTGCCCGAAACGCTGCGTGTGCTAGTGGCTTTACAAGACTGTAATTACCATATTTGTATCCTCACATTCCTTATGTACATTCTTGTATATGCATAAATAAATAAATAAATAAATAAATCACAGGAAGGTATTTGCTACAGCTCCGCCTCCTATTGAAGTCCTCGGGAGTGTTCACTACACCGATCTCCCTTAGGGCTTTCTGTTTTATCCCTTGTATATCCAAAGTATGACTCTCTATTAATATGATAATTAAAAGTAAAACGTTACACAAAATGTCTTAACTCTGTCATTAAAAAGAGCTCATAGTGGATTTTGTAACAGTTTTATGTCATATCATGTTGTAGTACACTATTAATACATTTAAAAGTACATACATTAATAATATACATTTAATAATGCCCGAAACACTATGCGTGCTAGTGGCTTTACAAGAATGTAAAATCCACTAAATTTCTATATTCTTTGTTAACCTCCAATGTAACTTCTTGTATATAAATAAATAAATAAATAAATAAATAAATAAATAAATAAATTTACAGTTGTTCCTCTTAGTGAAGAATTAAAACAAAAATTATATACTTGTAAGTATACTTGTACTTATTGTACTGTATTGTACTTGTACTTGTTATACTTATACTTGTAAGTGCGCGGAAGTTGAGTTTGTCCGGGACGCCAGCAAGCCTAGGGGCCGCCCTGGCAGCTCTCTTCACCTTGGAGAGACCTCAGTATAAGTCTAACATGTATATATACTCTGGCTGCCTCTCCCCCTACACAATGATTTATTATTATAATAATAGTAATAATAATAATAATAATAATAATTTTTATTTAGGTAAAGGTACATACATAAAGAGATTTTACAAAGTTTGTTGGCTTTATAGATAGAGGTAGTACATACAATGCCTAAAGCCACTATTACGCAAAGCGTTTCGGGCAGGAAAAAACACTAATGACTAAAGCTTAAAACTAATGGGTAAAAAGAATAAAATGTGTTGAGTACAAATAAAAATAGAGGTAAAAGAGGGGGGAACATTGTTGAAAAAGCAGCACAAATACAATTACAAATTATTACAGAAAATTACATTCAAACAGCGTTGAATTGAAAAAAAAAAAAAACATACATGGGTTGACAACAGAGGGGTAAGGTAGGTTACAGGGAATTTATTAGGTATAGCTTCGTTTTTAACTTAAACTGGTTGAGAGAGGTACAGTCTTTAACATGGTTGGGAAGGTCATTCCACATTCTGGGCCCCTTGATTTGTAGAGCATTTCTGGTTTGATTAAGTCGTACTCTAGGAATATCAAAACTGTATTTATTTCTGGTGTGGTGCTCATGGGTTCTGTTACAACCTTCTATGAAGCTTTTGAGATCAGGATTGGCATTATAGTTTAGCGTTTTATATATGTATAATACACATGAGAGAATGTGCAGTGACTTAATGTCTAACATATTCAGAGATTTGAGTAGGGGTACCGAGTGATGTTACTTATTTATATTACTTATAAATAGTGATATTACTTATTATATACTGTATGCTAAAGCGAACACAGTACAGTTTCGTCATAGGAGATTCCTAGATTGGAAGTCACTAACAAATTTCAATATATCCAAGTATTTTTAGTGTTAAATGCTGTTATTATATGCATAATTTGTTTTAATAATAGGAGGGGCAATCAAGGGGAGGGGCTAATCCCTTCCAATCACAGGAAGGGATTAGCTGAAGGTGCCATCCACTTAATAAATCATCTTTATTTTGCACACCAGCCCAGCTTGTGACATTCTGTTTCAACTTTAATCTACTTAAAAAGTGAGGTGTTAATTATTTAAAAGCATTAATAAAGTGATAATTAAATATTGCAGGATATAACAGGTATTACAAGTTTTCACCTATAGTGTTAAAAACCCTAACCGGAATCCGTAGGTGCCAAAGCACTGCCTAATTTTAAAACCCAGCTCGAAACAATTATGGTGACAAATGAGGGGAGACATTTGACGAGCTGACAGCTTCCTGTCCTCGTGGAGGCTACTAGTGAGATAGTGGCCCTCAGGTAAACTCAGGTATGCATGATGGGAGGGATGGGTTTCAGCGTGAGCCTCCCCTGCTGTCAGCATGAGTGACAAGGAACTCACTTTCCTCCAATAATGTATTGAATTTTGTAACTAGCTCATCAAGATTGTAACATGCTTAGCTAAATGAATTGCGGGGTTCAGTCCCTGAGCCCATTATGTGGCTCTGTAACCCTTTTCACTACCGCCCACAAGATGGGTATGGGGTGCATAATAAATGAACTAAACTAACTAACTCCAACAATGGAGATCCTGGTTCTACTCTCAGAAAGGCAGCATTCTGGATGCTTTCTATTTCTTGTTTCATTATGTCCATGTTTGGATGCGCATATGTCTGAATAACTTTTATTCTATTCTGTATTGAGCATTAACAAATCTCAATTTGGTTTTGCACACCTGAACTCAATAATCAAGGGTGCTCAGTCATTTGCACCAGACTTGTTCCAATGTGCCAGACCAAGAAATGCTAAGTGTCAAGAACCAGCAATACCAGACACTTTAGTAAATGTTTTTATTATTATTATTATTATTATTATTATTATTATTATTATTATTATTATTCCTTCATTCCTTTCTTCTTATTATTATTACTGCTTCACTCTTGCCCCAGAAAGGGAAATATCTTCCTATTCATAGCCCACCCTAGCAAATAAGTTTGACACCCCTGGATAGACTTTTAGTCATACCTGTCATGTTTTTATCTCTAATTGGTCTTCTAAGCAAAGCAAGCAATAAAATATTTTATAGTTCTGCACAGTATATTAGAACCCAGTTTTACAAATAATTAAGTAATGCAACATATATGTTTGATGAAGAATTAACGCATCCTTCCTTCTTGCTCGATAATAAAAAATTGTCAGATTTAGTACATCAAAGACCCAAAATTGCTAAAGCAGCCATAGATGCAGAGGCATGTTAACTTTATTATTATTATTCCATAACATTGTCATTATTCTGTAACAGTGATAAGTAATTCAAAATCCCAAACAAGCCTGTTTTATGACATTTTCTAACATACTGAAGAATTTTTTAAACAAAATACATATAATTCTTATAATTTTACTTGAACTGTTTGGTCATTTCTGCAGGTATCAGCCCGGATGATGAGAACCTTCTGTTCCTCTTGAATGGTGGGAAGAGCCGCTCCATCACCCCGCCTCCCAGCGACCCATCCTCATCCTCCACCCTTGACTCTAGGATCCCTGATGCTGCCAAGCTCGAGGAGGAGGTGAGATGCATGCACGGTGAAGAGGGAAAGGTAAAGGTGTTAAGGTTAAGAAGGGAAGATGAAGAGAAGGTAAAAAGGTGAAGGAAACTGAAAAAGCAAGGCATGAATGATGGCCTCGATAAAATAGTACATAATCATTCTTAGGTGAACTTTTACTGATTTCCTGTGAAATTTTGTTTAGTTTTTCCATAATACTAATAGATCTTTCTTCTGTTTGGTAGGAATTATTAGACAACAATTTTGTATAGGTATCTTCAAGTTAAAGAGGAATAAATTATTTTATTAAACAGATCTTCATTGTACAGTATCAGTATGTACTTCATATAAATAATTCAGGTTCAAAATTGGAAGTTTGAAATTCAAAATTTCCATGTTAGAGATGTATTGAAAAAGAGTTGATGATTATGTGTTGTCCACTTGTTCAGCATCAGAGATAAAGATAACATGTAGCTAAATCTTGTTTTCACCTTTGTTTTTATTCTCCTGTGTTCTACTATCATCTTAGCAATAAGAGTTTTCAGCTAACTTTATTTGATAGTTTTTAATTATTATTTTAATTGTAATTATTAAACTGTTTAATCATGTTAAAGCACTATGTTTGTAAGGCACACACATATATTAAGCTATAATAAATCTCCTAGTTTAACTATTTCAATATTATTGCCTGAACAACAAAATATTTTAGGCTTCTGCTGCTATGTTGAGGTTGACAATATTCTCGACTGATTCAGTGTTGGTAGCCTCTTGAAAGCTATTTCTCTCGTGGCATGCTTTATTTTGTTGGTAATTGTTACAACTTATGTTTTGGGTGCAAATTTAAGCAATTTAATTTACGATCCATCTGCCTGATTTGTTCGGTATACAGGTAGTGACATCCTTACTTCTTGCAGGGTCAGTGCTCTATTCCCAATGGTCCATAAAGTGTTTACCCCTTCATTCCTTAAATACATTTTTTCCCCAATTTACTTGAAGTTTTTCCAGAAACACTTTGCATCATAGTGGCTTCATTAGTTTGTGTAACTCCTTTCCCCACAATTGTACCTCATCTATCCATACCTCAACTATGGTATTTGTGCTTGGGGCTCTACTACCCAAAATCATTTACGTCCTCTAATTACCCAACACAAAGCTGCTATTAGGACAATATCCAACTCTGGCCCCAGACATCACTCGGTACCCTTACTTAAATCTCTGAATATGTTAGATATTAAGTCACTGCACATTCTCGCTTGTGTATTATACATATATAAAATGCTGAACTGTAATGCCAATCCTGACCTCAAAAGCTTCATTGAAGGTTGTAACAGAACCCATGAGCACCACACCAGAAATAAATACAGTTTTGATATTCCTAGAGTACGACTTAATCAAACTAGAAATGCTCTACAAATCAAGGGACCCAGAATTTGGAATGACCTACCCAACCATGTTAAAGACTGTACCTCTCTCAACCAGTTTAAGATAAAAACTAAACACTACCTAATAAATTCCCTGTAACCTACCTCACTCCTCTATTGTCAACCCATGTCTGTTATTTTTTTTTAATCAACACTGTTTGTCAACCTATTGTATTTGTGCTGCTTTTTCAGTCATGTTCCCCCTTTTTTTTATCTTTATTTGTATTTGTTCTCAACACTTTTTATTCTTTATGCTCAATTAGTATTAAGTTCTAGATATTAATGTCTTTCTTGCCCGAAACGCATCGCGTAATAGTGGCTTTAGGCATTGTATGTACTAGCTCTATATATCAATCCATTAATGTAACATCACTTGTATGTATGTACCTTACCTGAATAAACATATTTATTTATTTATTTATTTATTTACATTACTCTTATATTCTTTATACACACATTCTTTTGAATAAAATTTGAATTTGAAGTGGATGGATACCATTCCTTCACTCCATAGTCATATCCCAGCTCCATGTCTTCATATCTCTTTCAAGTGTAATACAGTCATATTGGCTTAACGTCTTCACCTCATAATTACCATCTTGCAGGTTTCATATAAATTTAGCCCCCCTTGTGTTTCTCAGTAACAGTCTGATCACCATTTCCCATGTCATTAATCTGTACCAGAATGGTGGAACCCAAACTGTGCCTCTACACACACTCAACAAGGCTCACATTAACACCATATTCCCAGTAGTTAATAATACTGACTGTATCCCTCAGTGTTCCTCTAGTAATTGCTATCCATGAATGCAGTGGCTTGATTGATATGTCCTGACACAGTACAGTATATCCAATAATATCCCTCAGTATTTTGGTTACCCAGGATGAACTGTAGCTATCACTATTGTTAATTATCTTTCTACAAATGATAATTGCTGCAGCTGACCTTGTCTAACCTTGTGCGAATGTGACCACATCTCTTACCCCTGTCCGCTGTGTCAGCTGCGACTCCTGTGTGGGAATCGTGAGGCCACCTTTCCTGAGACCATCCCAGAGGAGACATCCAGCACAGAAGAGGAACATGTGGTAGGTAGCAACAAAGATGCTGGGGTCAGGAACATGTGATAGATGGCAACAGTGATGCTGGGGTCAGGCACATGTGATAGATGGCAACAGTGATGCTGGGGTCAGGCACATGTGATAGATGGCAACAGTGATGCTGGGGTCAGGCATATGTGATAGATGGCAACAGTGATGCTGGGGTCAGGCACATGTGATAGATGGCAACAGTGATGCTGGGGTCAGGAACATATGGTAGATTATCAACAGTGATGTTAGGGTCACGAACTTGTGATTAATTCTAAGATAGAGCTTAACTTACCTTTGTTAAGAAACTTGGCCTGTAATGAATGTTTTTATATCTATAAAAAAGAGAATGTCTGTCTGTTTATTCAAGATTGGAGGCCAGACGTTTGGGGCTATCTTCACCTAATTTTTCAAGATGACACAGTGGGGGTATGTGAATGACATTGGCTGGTTGAGGTTTGCTATATTGCCCTTTGAAGAAATACTTGTAGAATTTTTCAGCAATTTCTCATCTTTTCATAATATTATATTTTCTGAGAAAGAGATAGAGAGAGAGAAGAGAGGAGGATGTTGGCAGAGGAAAGGAGATAGAGGAAGAATGGTGGAGAGGGGAGGAAATGGGAGTAAAGGAGAAAAGAAGGAAAAAGGTGGAGAGGGGGGGAGGAGAGGCAGAAAGGTGAAAGAAAGAGAGAGAGAGAGAGAAAGAGAGAGAGAGAGAGAGAGGGGAGGTTGGAAGATAGGCTTGAGAAGGGGAGGAGAAGCTAAACCTGGACAGGACTAGATAACCCATATAGTAAGCTATAAGGTAAAAAGTGTAAGTTTTTAGTGAGGAGAGAAAGAGAATGGTTGTGTATGATATACTGACTAATTTTTGTGTAATTACCTAAATAATTACCCAAGTGTAGTTACAGGATGAGATCTATGCTTTTGGTGTTTCGTCTTCACAGTACTCTTTGTCATATAACGCTTTGAAACTACTGATTGTTTTGGCCTCCACTGCCTTCTCGTTTAACTTGTTCCAACTGTCTATCACTCTGCTTTCAAAAGTGAAGTTTCTGATGTTTTTTCAGTAGCTTTGTTTCCTTAGTTTGAACCTTATGCCCTCTTGAAATGTTGGAGCAAGTTAAGCGAGAAGGCAGTGGATGCCAAAGCCATCAGTACAGTAGTTTCAAACCATTATACGAAACACCAAAACCATAGCTCTCATCCTGTAACTACACTTGAGTAATTACACTTATGTAATTACCCCAGCAGTCCAGCTGGTGCATGGGCAGGCATCACTTACCCTTATGGCATGAGTTCTAGTGACATTGAGTCATGTGGCATGTATTCCCATGACACTTAACAAAACAGCATGACCATGTGTGGATGCTGTCTGCATTACTCATGTCCTTATGGCAACTGCCTGAGTAATCTGTGCCCTTCGACAGCTGTCTGACGGACTTTATGGTAGCTTTTTGTTCTTTTCATGTAATCTGTTCTCATGATATTTGCATAAGGTTTTTACTTCTTTTGGCAGTAGCATGAATGACTCTTCATCACATAAATCATTCAGTAACCAGCAGATATGCAACAACTATTAATACCTTATATGCTTATGATAGCTGCTCAAGTGATTTGAATCTGCACAGCAGCTTTTGATAGTGTTCCAAGTGATTGCAACAATTGCTATGGTGGCTGTGCTCTTGTGGTTAATAACACAAGGTATCCTATGTCTAATTGCCAGCTGCTCCAGTTATCCATATCCACGCAACATATAGCAGACTTCCAAGTGGCCTACATATCTTATATTAGTACTATGACTGGTCCTGACTGAGCATATCTTTCCCCACAAGGTGATATTCAGACTTGGATCCTACCCTGACAACGATGGACGAGAGTCGCACGTATACAAGGTATGATTTTCATCCTACGTATTTGCCTATTTTATTAATTTCTTTACTCTATCTTGTTGCACATTCACTGTTGGCATAACAGTATGTTTTGCCTTCTCTATATTTCCTCTTCAGTAAAATAACAGTGATGACCGTTATGTGCAGCTCACATGGGAAAGTAAAAAAAAAAAGCATTGAATGTAATGAAAAGCCAATTTCTGGATGAGCCCTGGAGACTCCCTTAAGCTATCACACTGATTTAGTGCCATACTGCTTAGTGTCATCAGTCGCAGAGTTCCTTATGCCTACAGGGGACCACAAGCCAGAACCTGGTCCCCTCGGAGAGATGCAGGGAGTGATGGCCTATGACCACTTTACATTTAAAGGTTATCATCTTTGCCATCACCTAGGGAAATTATATTATTAATTTAATATGTAATTTAATAATCTGTGTAAATACTCTATGCAAATTAAGGGACCTAGTCTATGGAACTCACTCCCTAGTGAATTGAAAAACTGTAAAACTTTTGCCTTATTTAAAAGCAAAACCAAAAAGTACCTAACTTCATCTTCTTAGTTTCCTACACTGAGCTTTAAATTTGCTCTGTACCTAGTGTTACCCAATCTCCTAATTTTTATGTAATATCAAACAACCTTATCATTGTGTTCATTGCTGTCTTCTTCTATGTGCTAGCCATATGCTGTATTGTGACTACCAATTTTTGTCAACTACCATTCAAGCTGTCATTGCAACCAATCTTATATTGTTTCTGCTGTATTGTGCCTACCAATTTTTTGTCAACTACCATTCAAGCTGTCATTGCAATCAATCTCAGCTACCTATGTGCTTTAATATACTGTACCTACAATTTTCTCTCATCTTTTTTTCATTTCATGTAATCTGTTATCATTTTTTTGTCTATAATTTTTGCAAGTATTTACCTCCTTAAAATTTTCTTAGATTAAGGACCTGCCCGAAACGCTGCGCGTGCTAGTGGCTTTACAAGACTGTAATTACCATATTTGTATCCTCACATTCCTTATGTACATTCTTGTATATGCATAAATAAAAATAAAATAAAAAATAAAAATAAAATATAATTTAATAAAAGGCTTGATTCTTGTAAAGATTCTTCTTCTTTATTATAATCCAACTCAGTAGCCAACTATCTTTCAATGGAGAAGAAAACTGACCCAGACTCGCTCATTGTAAAATGAAGGTGTGACTATATATGCTTCAGCTGGCTAAAGGATCAGTCTGTAACTGCACTAGTTATTGGTAAGGTCAGAAAAATGTGGTACAATATGGACACATAAGGATAAATCGAACACATGTCATTGGGCATTATGAATGTAAGTATACATTGTTGATGGTCAGTTTCTTGACATCTGAATTTGACATACTGCTAGTGCACATTATCTCTTTGTACATCTCTTTGAATGAACGGAACTCTTGTACAATTTCAGTTTTATTGCACAAGTGAATTAAAAGAGTTAAAAAATGTTGAAAAGGTGCCACTTTTGAAGAATACGCTCAGGGGGGTGGGGAGTAACCACTCCCCCCTGCTACCCCCTAAGCTATGCCACTGAGTTAAAGTGATGATAGCATATTGTTGTGACAGCCAGGGTGATAACCAATAACAGCACATTGTAATGACAGCTAGAGTGATGACATATAGTGTCACCATCAAAGCAATATGGAGAACTGCATGTTGAACTGGCAAGTCTTCAGCCCCTCCATTTGATCTGTTTGCCTGTATAATTAATACCAGTACTATGCACTAAATATGTACAGTACTACTGGCATTTACCTGACTATTGTAAAACTTATTAAGTTTACTTATTGAGAACTCCTAACACATCAAATTTAGAAGTACAGTATTAGTTGATGCATATTGTATCATTACAAATTATGTTCACTTTACATTCGAATGTATCAAACGTTTGAAAATACAAGTTAGAAAAATGGTTTGTTACGCATTATATCTGGGTTCCAGGCTGAGCACCCATCGTGCTTCCTCCGCACACCAACTGTGGAAATCAGTGACACCACCAGTCCCACGCAGCCACCTTCCCTTGCAGCCTCCACATCACCTACTGATTCCCACTCACCAAGACTCAATGAAATCAATGCCTCTACCAAGACCAGGTAACATTTGAGAAGTCACTTATTTTCAAGTAAATTAGTGGAGGATATGTGAAAAAATGTAGCTCAGTACAGTATATCCCTCTTCTGAGATGTATTTTTCATGTAATGACCGTATATTACATTAGGCAAGCATAATTTCTTCGTAAAACAGTGAAGTTTAATTATTATGACAGGTGGGGAAATTTACACTTGTCTTATATAGCAACAGATATGTAGACATATTTTCAGCTTTTCTTGTAAACTGATTAATGCAAAGATTTATGTTTGTGTGGTGATCTTTTATTTGGTTTAATTAGCAGGGGCTCTGCCTAGATGAACCACAATATGTCAAATGACATAAGCCATCTAATAAAGATTAAATTATTAAACGAGCTACGTGAGAGACAATTGTGTGTGATTTTACCACCGCAAGAGTGATTGTTTACCTTGTTCTGGTGCTTGCAGCATTTCGGCTACAGGAGCTAAGCCAAGCTCTCTTACGGATCCCACCTTGGCAACGTTTCTTGACGTTGCTGTTCTCCGGTGTCTGTTTGTGCATCAGTGGATGGAAGAGGGGGTTTATTGGGCCATTAATTTTATTTATAGAAGGTAAGATTTTCTGAATGGAATAAAAGTTCATAAATGCTTAATGCAATTCAGCCACTACGGTCTCAACCTGAGTCACACACATAACCCTTACTTTTAGTTGTGCGAGTTGTTCATGTTCTCATATCTTCTATTATATTTTAATGACTCCTTAATCTTTACTTTTGGCAGGTTTACAAACATTATGGTACATGGAATAGGGTTTAAATTAGCTTCTAGAGTATTTTTATATATCTTTTTCTATAAGAATAGGTTACTGCAAAGATAAAATTGCGAACTCAAAGTTCTTTGTCATGAAAAACGAAAGATTCAGCTATAGTTCAGAATTATATCTACATACAGATAGTTTATTGAAGATTAGAGGTCAAGGATGATCCCAAAATATAGCCTTAAAATGGAAAGTAAGACACCGAAGTGTCCAATTCTTGGATTAGGGAAAGACAGTAATGCTTAAAAGAAGGTGCAGTACAATTCCTTTATGATCATTCTTTAAGAGGCAGTAAACAATTTTCAAGTTCTTGGGGAAAGGAGCTATGGCAGTAGTGATAGAAGAAAACTTTAGAGAAGGGAGAGACTGGAAAAAAGAAAATGGGATGAAATATTCATGCCAACAATATCAATTTATTATTTGTTCAGTGCACCTACATGTATCCCGTGAAGACAAACAGCTGTCTGCTTATGGAAAGTCAAGATAAAAAGTCTGAAGGTTAATGCAGTCAGCAGAGTAAAGCATCGACATCGGTGAGAAAATTAAGATAATGACAATGTACTTGTTAAGGATTAAGATGCAAATATGCTTTTTATAATTAAATTATTCTTATGGGGCAGAGACAATTGAGTTCCAAAAGCCAAATTGACTCATTGACACTTACTATTTCAGCCGCTTTACTGAAATTTGTATGTGGAGAAAATAATACACCAAGATTAAATTATAATAATAATAATAATAATAATAATAATAATAATACAGTATTTGATTCATAAAATATGCATACATAGGAACATAATTCAGAGATATATTTGAAGGTACAGAGGTTATATATTAAATAAATCCACTTATACACAAAGCGTGGAATTTTGGAATCTAATGTCAGTCAAAATACAAATATGGAACTCTGCAACTATTCATGTTTGACTACATTTTATTTGTCAATAAATATGATTTGCCCAAATTTAGGGACCATTGATATAACGTTTTGAATGTTTAGTGCATCTCCTGTCAGTCACATTAAATGCTCATTGGTTTGTCCAGTAACTGGATGAGTGACCACATAGACACGGTCTCTCCTCTTGATAGAGGACCTCAAAGAGCCACTGGCTTCTTACTCTGGCCAGGGTAATCTAAGCTAACCACTTGGGCTGGACGGTTGAGCAACGATCTCGCTTCATGCAGGTCGGCATTCAATCCCCGACCGTCCAAGTGGTTGGGCACCATTCCTTCCCACCATCCCATTCCAAATCCTTACCCTGAAACCTTCCCAGTGCTATATTGTCATACTGGCTGGGCGTTTTACCCTGATAGTTCCCTATCTTACTGTATATCATATAAGACTAGCATCATACAAAATACAATTCACAAATTAAAATACAAATGACTTTTGACACTTTTGATTACTTTTGTGACTACTTGGTGAAGAAGCCTGAAGTGTGACCCAGGATGACCGTGGTGGCTGGTAAACCTCGGTACAGAATTATTCATCTAACCTCTGCTTTCTTACTCTTGTCCTAACCTGTAGAACTAAATCACAGAGGGTTGAAAATATAAATTGCTATATACTGTACTTCTCAGTAACTTTAGGATAACCTGTCAGTACAACAGAGTAATGATTCATTTGTGTATCTGCGCTTGTGTAAGAGCAACCAATTTGCATGATTCGAGTAACATGAAGCAAACCTCTTGCTGTAACGTAAGCAGATTAACCTGCGCCTCCTTAGCTACTCCTTGTAGGGTCCTACATGAGAAAAACAGTGACTTTATGTTCATGATGGTTCCCATCTCAAGACATGCATTGTTAGCCTCGCTATATAAAATCTTTGATTACCTACAAAGTTGATGCAAATACTGTCTAAGCTCGCTTATCCGGACGATATGGGAGAGACCCCTCACCAGATAAGCTAAACACCCAGATAAGCAGAATTCTTACAGGGGGAGTCCAAAAATTAACATATTCACAAATTTTTCTACCCCAACCATCATAATATGAACTTCTGCACACACACTGCAGACAATGGGTCACAATAAAGTGGCTGATATTATGACCAAACCACATAACAGAAAATGGAGAAATGACGACGTTTTGGTCTGGCCTGGACCATTATCAAATGGTCTGTCCTGGACCATTTGTTATATTCAGTAGGAATTTTATATGGCTTGACTATGGTCCAGGATGTCCTGAAATGTCGTCATTTCTCGATCTTCTATTCTGTGGTTTGGTTATCATTCTGCATGCACTATAAATCAAAATTATAATTTAAAAGAGAAACTAAAGCTTACCTTGTTGTAGTTTGTCTTCTTGTTTGATACTGTAGATCTTGAAATGTGTAGTTCTTGAAAATTTACGTAATCTAATATCCAGATATCTGGATTTCTGTCCGGATATGGAGGAGTTTTGTCAGAAAGTCATTCGGACTTGATTTAAATCCCATGTACTTGAGAATCATCAGAATTTTGAACCCCCAAACTAACCAAAGTATTGTGAATATGTTGGATACAGGCCTGTGGGGCACTGTGCTCCTTGGATAAAGGCCAGTGGGGCTTTATATGCCTTGGATATAAAGGCTTATGGGGTGCTTTGCATCTTAGATATAAGTTCATGAGGCACTGCACACCCTTGGCTGTAGGCCCATGAGCCCTTGTCACTTTTTAATATAGGTTATTGGGACATTACACAAACTTTGATGACAAAGAAAGCAGTGCAGAAATAATGCAGTGCTCTATGGACCTGTGTTGAAATAGTGCAGTGTCCCATGGACTTGTGTTGAAACAGTGTAGTTCCCAGTGAACCTGTATCAATATACAGTAGTTCAGTGCCCCACAGATATGTATTGAAATAGTATATTACCTCGTGTATCTGTATCAAAATATCACAGTGCCCCCTGGACCTGTATTGAAATAGCACAGCACCATAAAGGTCTGAATTGAACATGCACACAGTACAGAGGAGCCTCGATTAACGAATTTAATCCGTTCCGGCACCGAACTTATCACGTGAAACGCTCATCTTGCGAAGCGAATTTCCCCATTTAAGATAATGGAAATAAAATTAATCTGTTCCACCCTCAAAAAAACATCAATATGACATTTTATAATGTAATTATGATACTGTACATGTAATTATTATAATTGTTTAGTTTTACTGTTTTCAATTGTACATGTACTTTACCTTATGAAGAGTCGGTGCTGGCTTGAGGGAGACGACGGGGAGGTGGGGAGGAGGAGAGGGGTAACGGTGGGGAAGGAGAATCCATCTCTGAGTCAGGCGGGCTCTCTCTTCTTGAGAATTTCACCCCACTGGGACCGGGTTGTGGTTCACTATCACTTGCTCGTCTTTTCTGTACCTTTCCAAAGAATGTATCTACTGTATTGACAATTGCTTTTGTCTTCGTTTTAGGATGTCCCTAAAACGAGACAGCAAATTGTCATTAAACATGTTCACACACCGTGTTGTCACTGCTTTATCAGGGTGATGCTTTTCCAAATCTACAAATCATCAAATCTACAGTAAGTGTGTCTTTTTTCTTCTTGACAACACTGTCTTTAGCAAGCAGCTTCTTTGGCGACATCGTGAGTTACAAATTGTGGTCACAAAACCACAAAAAAAAACAAAGAAAAGCACAAATAAATGCAGAGAGATGCTTGTCCTGCACGATACAACAACAACGCTGTCATTAGAAGTGTCGAGATTTTGCGTGAACCAGCGGGAATGCTAGGAAGCACCACATACGGTTTTCTCGTTAATCGAGCGGAAGCTCATCAATTGAGACAGATTTTTTGCGAGTGGCTTGCTCGTTACTTGAAATGCTCTTAGATGGGGCTGCTCATCACACAAGGTTCCTCTGTACATATATTATGGTAATGGCTCATTATGGGTTGACAAATTTACTAAAAAAGCACTGCACATTTTCCTGCGCGGCCTAATTTCATAAATGCATTGGAATTGTTAATTACTATCGAAATTTATACTTCAGATTCGGAAAAAAAACTAGAAAATTATTTCAAAATTATATTTGGTGTGCAAACCAGGCTATCATGGCCAATGAAGTCACTTTTTTTTTTTAACCCCTGTAGCTTAATATTTTTTCACTGGAGTATTATTTGTATTGGGTTCTTCATATGGCCTTGTTTCATCCAACAATGAAACCCATGTGCATTTAAACTTTATTGATGTGCAATATGCATACAAGATATAAAAATTATTGATTTCTTCTGTATCCATTCCTATTATATTATAATTGTTATGTATTTCATTGATTAGGTGTCCTTGCACAACTTTTTCTTTCAACTCAGTTACATATGAGTAATGGTTTACCTTGGATGGAATATGGCAGAAGACAAGACAGATTCTAGTTAGGCAATGATGTTATAAATATACCAAAAATCTAGATTAACCACACCTGCCATAAGCCTGAGGTTCCGAGTATGTAGTATCTGACAGCACTTCTCTCTCTGCCCTCCTTCTCCCCCCATCTTCACTCTCTAGAGCGCAAAGGTGAGACACAGTGGAGATAGGTGCTGCATCTTCTCACCTGGGGGGATGTTCTTTTAATACATTATATGCTAAAAGTGGAAACAACAGTTTAATGAAACCTTTAGTTGTGTCAAAGAGGAAGTTTGCTCTCTGGTGGGGGTGACCTGTAGCAGAGGGACTCCAAGATTAATTGGAAGTGGCTTCTTAAGTACTAGATGGGAAATTTCCTATTTTATAATATGGATTTTACCTATAAATTTATGGTAGTTTAGTAGAGAGCACAGTGCTGACACTAATGGAAAATTAGTTTGTTTAAAGAGGACTTGAGTTTTAGAATGAATTTTGGAGTTAACAATAAATATTACTGGATTTAATGCTAGCAAAGTAATGTAAATGGAACATTGTGTGTATTCACTCAATGTTGTTTAAGGGTTACCAGTGAATATTGTGGTTATAGCTCTTTGTTTTTAAGTTTTCATTGTACAGTACAATATTTCCAAATTTTTACTTAGCCATTAGTCAGATGTGGACAAAACACTTTTCTGTCTAACTTAGTCTGAAGTAGTAAATCTAGACCCATAAACAGATTAACTTAAATACTTCAGTCTCTTGCCCTGAGTGGGCAATATAAATAACATTTTGGGGAATGGCACATCAGATTTATAATGAGTTTATATTAAAAGATATACATTTGTAGATGAAAAAATCTATTTACATGTACAGTATCATTATTTATTATAACTAAAAATACAATATATTGATCTGATTACATAGAATTAATTTAGTTATTAAATACATTGGTATGAGAGTCTCATAGTACAGGCGGGTTCATTCTCAACTTACAATCATGGATTCTAGGTTTGATTCCTGGGCACAAAAATATGGTTTCCTTTCACCTAGCAGTAAATATATAACTAGGAGTTTGGCTACTGTTGTGGTGGTTGCATCCTGGGGGGAGGGGCCAGTAGTTCAACCTTCAACTCTATACAAACCTAACAAAATAATTTAATTAATTAAAATTATAGGATTGATTATCCCATTATTTGCCTCCAAATATTTATCATTGTCATAATTTGGTAGTTTAACATAAAATGTACTATACCTGTCTAGATGAACCCTTGAGAAATTCTCATGCTCCACAAAGAGAGAAAGTGTGAAAGGGGTGTACAAGGCCTTCAAGGCCCTACCTGGAAGGAAAGTGTAGGTAGGTGGTCCAAGGTCCCACCAAAAGGGAAAGTGTAGTTGGGTGGTCCAGGTCCCCACCAAGAGGGAAATTGTAGTTGGGTGGTCCAGGTCCCCACCAGGAGGGAAAGTGTAGTTGAGTGGTTCAGGTCCCCACCAGGAGGGAAAGTGTAGTTGGGTGGTCCAGGTCCCCACCAGGAGGGAAAGTGTAGTTGGGTGGTCCAGGTCCCCACCAAGAGGGAAATTGTAGTTGGGTGGTCCAGGTCCCCACCAGGAGGGAAAGTGTAGTTGGGTGGTCCAGGTCCCCACCAGGAGGGAAACATGTAATTGTGTCCACCCAGGTGCCAGAGCCAGCTGTAGCACTCACCTCCACTCTATGTGTATCTTACTCCTTCTGCTTGTCCCTACACCAGTAGTTGTGATGCACACATCAGCTGCTTCTTATAAACATTTGAGTGTAAAGATCTTGTTTGATATATTCTCATTAGTTATGTTACAGGTCATATTTTAAACATATTAAAGTTAATTTTTTGTTGCTATTAGAGTTTAAATGTTAAAATAATAACTCTTATGTTTATTGAATGTATGCTTGATGAGATAAAAGGTTCTTGACCTGTATAACACATCTTTAGCCTCAGAGAATAGTATAGAATATGTGTAGCTGTCTGGTGTTTCTCACTCCTTTGCTATGCTGAGAGAAAACACCTGTGGGTAGTGCTCCCTGCCCTGGGATGCTTAGAGAGAACACCTGTGGGTAGTGCTCCATGCTCTCGGATGCTGATATATATAATATACATATATATGTATAATATGCATATATATAATATATAATATACATATATATATAATATACATATATATATATAATATACATATATATATAATATACATATATATATAATATACATATATATATAATATACATATATATATAATATACATATATATATAATATACATATATACACATGTATGTGTAAATCACGAAAATTAACATGTGATGAAAAATGTGACAGTGTCAGACCACGGAGGAAGAATTGAAACAAGAATTTCCTTAAGAACTTTCGTTTTTAATAATACATCTTTAGAAGGGTATACCCTTCTGGAGATGTATTATTAAATACGAAAGTACTTAAGGAAATTCTTGTTTCAATTCTTCCTCCGTGGTCTGACACTGTCATATATATACATATATATATATATATATGTTGTTGAATATGACCGAAAAGGTAAGATTAATAATTCTAACATGAATTTTCTCAATATTTCTTATGTTTCTTTTCACTGTCTACAGTGAAATGAAACATAAGAAATATTGAGAAAATTTGTGTTAGAATTATTATTCAACAACATATATTTACAAGAAAGATTGCTACCAAAAGCACAAGTGTAAACCTATCTTTCATAGGCTTGTGTCCATGCAATGATTTTTCCTCCTTGGTAATGTATGTTCTCTTAGGCAATCTTTTCCAGAACAGTCCTGTCTCATCACAATTAAACACTTGTTGCAGTAGGTATCCCTCAGCCTCTGCAAACTCTTTAAATTCTTCAATAAATCTTTCGGCTGCTGGTTTGTCTGAGCTGGCAGCCGCCCCATGCCTCACAACACTATGAATACCACTTCTTTTTCTAAATTTTTCAAGCCATCCCCTGCTTGCCTTAAAGTCTATCGTATCTGCACTTGTTCCAGGGGTTTTCTTTATAAGGTCTTCATGCAATACCCTGGCTTTCTCACAAATGATGGCCTCTGAAACACTATCACTCTCTAACTCCTTGTCATGTATCCAAATTAATAACAACTTTTCCTCATCCTCAAGTATTTTTGGTCTTTGTTTCGTGATTGTTCTTACGCCTTTTGTCACTTTAACACTCATAATGTCCTTTTTCTTGGCAAGTATAGTGCATATCATTGACGTGGATTTGTTGTACTGCCTACAAAGTTCAACAACACGTGCACCATTTTCATGCTTCCGAATGATCTCTTGTTTTTCCTCTATTATCATCCTCACATGCGATTTCTTGCCTTGATCCTTACCACTGGCTTTCTTGGGACCCATGGTGAGATATGGTGAGATATATAATAACAACTTTTATGGTCAAATGGCCAAAAATTCAACAAAACACTGTAAATCCTTGCGAAGAATTCAGGCGGGATAGTCACTGGGCGCAAGGCACTGGTAAACTGAGGGGCGATCGCCGGGCCACCATGCGTTAGGTCGGCCTGTATGCATATCAACACCCTCGTATTCCGATGCAATGCTCGTATTCCGATGTAAATTTTCTGAGCAAATCCTGCTCGTATTTCGAAAAACTTGTAAACAGGGATGCTCGTAATCTGAGGTACCACTGTACTGTACAGTGAAACCTTTCTCTCCATACTAGAAATAATTATCCACAATTTTCCAAGCATGCTCTTCAAAACTGTTGTGTTTCTAAACAAATAGTGAGATAAGCTTGGTGCTTTCTATACGTACCACAAAAACCATCCACTACACAAGTTTTAACTTAGTGTGTAACCTATGGCTCAGTAATATATGTTCGTACACATAGATACCAAAACAATACTGAGTGGCTAGTTCAGTATTACTACCTGCATTTTCTTGACAGCTGAAAAATATTCTCAAGATGTGTACTTATCATTGAACTTGTGGTTTGGGTTGCAGCTATGGCTTCTATCTTTTTGGAATCAAACAATAATGCCAGTTGATTTAGTTTATTCTGGTGTCCTTGATTAAGTGTGTATTTTATGATGTCAGTTGGATCTGTAGGTTACTCAAAAAAGATCTAGTTTAGTTTATATTTTTGTCATTTTGAATGGTTAAATGATGATCTAGAACACAGTTTCAACTGTTTATTTGCCAGTTACCAACACTATTACACATATTCTTTCCAAAATGGAACCCTTCCTAACGCTGTAGTATTTAATTAAAAGATCTGTATATGATTGCAAATACTATCCAGACTAAGATATGTATTGTAGATTGGCTATTCAATTTGATGTGTTTATTTTACATACATATCTCATAGAATTTGAATATCTCCTGACATTGAACCTTTATTAGTGTTTCATTATTTTCTTATCCCTGACTGAGCCATGGTATGTATTTAGGATATTTGGTAGTTCCCCTTTAGTTTGCATCTTCTGCATAATGCAAGTTTTATTATATGAATAATCACAGTGTGGACTGTATTTATTACCTATTCAAGTGTATTGAATCTCTTTTGCATTGTGGTTGTGTTTTAACATCTTATTGCACGTTCCAAATTATGAATTTATATCGGGTTAGATTTTCATAATTGTATTCCATTTGTATCAAATTTTTCTGAATCATGAAATTTTGCTGTTGTATTATGATATAATTTAAATTGTGTGTATATATATATATATATATATATATATATATATATATATATATATATATATATATATATATATATATATATATATATATATATATATATATATATATATATATATATATATATATATATATATATATATATATATATATATATATATATATATATATATATATATATATATATATATAATATTATATACTGTATATTTATATATATATGGATATAAATTAGTTTTTATTCAGTAGTAGTTTAAACAAATAGTGAAATAATGCATATATTGTAGATATATAGATTTCTTTCAAATATATTTAGAGTACTAATGAAATTCTAATTTTTCCTTTCATTCTCACCTTTGAAATTTGACCTTGGTTACGTATAATGTACAACAAATGTGTGATGAAAACAGACTGCAAGATATCGGTGAGGAGACGGGACATTCAGTCCCCCCAAGGCGGAGAAGCAATTCTCTTCCTATCCCAAAGATTCACGTTTCTCTTCACTGCGACCCTACAGAGGAGAGGAAACCCAAGGATGGATTAGATCAGAGTGACCAGTCATCTTCTGATTATATTAGTGGTGAGGAGTCATGATGTTGATGTAATTGATACTTTGTGACTCTTTTATGAATGTATTTTCTTAATGTGTCTGTGTGAAGAGAGAGCTTCTGGAGTCATTGCCTGTGAGGGTTATGACAGACATAGATTATAACAACTTTACTGATGATGCTTATAAAGTTAAATAGATGATTTATAAACTGAGAAATAAAATTCTGACAAGAGTAAACAAATGAATATACTTACACACATACTCACTCATACACACACAAATTGAAAGACTGAAATAGAGACTAATATCAGTAAACAAGTTTTAGCAGTTTTACTAATATCAGTAAAAAAGTTAAGAGAGAGGTGACATGATTGAAATATATAAAATGTACAGTGAGATTAACAGGGTGGAAAAGGATGAAATATTCACATTAGATATCATTAAAACAAGAGGGCATGGGTGGAAGCTTGAGACACCATAAGCTAAATAAGCTAAATAAGTCATATTCTGCCCGAAACGCTTTGCGTAATAGTGGCTTTAGGCATTGTATGTACTAGCTCTATCTATAAAGCCAACAAACTTTGTAAAATATCTTTATGTATGTACCTTACCTAAATAAAATTATTATTATTATTATTATTATATAGATACTGAAAAAGAATTTGTTTAGCACAATTGTAAAAGGAAAATGGAATAAGTTAAATCTGCAGATTGGAGAAGACAATTCCATTCATAATCTAAATGCAGTAGATATGGTAGAACAATATTAATACAACAATACAAGTACAATACAATATGTACAGTAACAAGTACAACAATACTAATGGCAGGGGGAGCATAAAGAGCTAGATCTCACATTCCCATGGGCACTGTTAGGTAAGGACATGCACATACACAAGTATTCATACACATAAATATCTACTGTCCTCTAGTAAATCACACCTACCTATCTACCTTCCTCTACTAAACCACACCTACCTATCTACCTTCCTCTACTAAACCACACCTACCTATCTACCTTCCTCTACTAAACCACACCTACCTATCTACCTTCCTCTACTAAACCACACCTACCTATCTACCTTCCTCTAGTAAACCACACCTATCTATCTATCTACCTACCTACCTACCTACCTACCTACCTACCTACCTACCTACCTACCTACCTACCTACCTACCTACCTACCTACCTACCTACCTGCCTACCTGCCTACCTACCTACCTACCTACCTACCTACCTACCTACCTACCTACCTACCTACCTACCTGCCTACCTACCTACCTGCCTTATTATCAAGCTACCTACTTTATTACCATTCTGCCTGCCTACATTATTACCAGCCAACCTTCCTACCTTATTACCTACCTACCTACCTCCCTGCCTGCCTCTGGTGAAAAAATAAAGATGAAAGAATGTAAAAGAAAATCCCACACAAGGTTGTTGAAAGATATGAGGCAGAGACGCATGTAATGATCTTAAGGGAAACAGAAAGAAAGAGAACAAGACTGATAACAAGATGATGAAAATGTGTAAGAAAACTAACTTAGGCTGGGAAGAGGAACTTGACAGGAGGATTAAGTAATGTGGTTGATTGGAGGATTGAGCAATTTAGTTAACTGCAGGATTGACTAAAATAGTTAATTGAAGGATTGAGTTACAGTTGATTGGATGATTAAATTTATCCTAAGTTACCTGAAGGCCACTATCTCTAGTGGCCTTAGTGGGGACAGGAAGCTGGTAGCAAGTCAAAGGCCCCCCCCCAATTATTCTGAAAAAAAATTCCAACTAGATTTTGAAATGCTGTAATATCTTGGCATTTCCATCTTTGGCAGGTAGATGGTTCCATGACTTTATAACTTTAGGGTCCGGGTAGAACAGTTAGTTCATTCTCGACTCACAGTCGAAAATTCCGGGTTCTAATCCCCGGCGGGACAGAAATAGTTGGGTGCATTTTCTATTGCCTTTGTATTGCTCATTTTCTAATGCCCTTGTATTATGTTACATCTGACATTTTAAAAAGAGGGGTCTGGTTCCTCCAACTAGTTCAGCATTTTAAAAGTTTTATGAGATCAGCCCTGTCGTTTCTGATCACCTAATGCACCTGTTCGCCTAGCAGTAAATAGGTACCCAGGAGTTAGTCAGCTTGTTTTGGTGTTGCATCTTGGGGAGGGTCAGCAATTTGACCCTGAGGGATGGGACCTTGATATAAGCTTAACATGAACTGTATGTATAAACTGGCTGCCTGTTCCCCGGCACAATAAATTTTATATTATAATTATAACTCTATGGGTGAAAAAGCATCTTCTGTTTGCTCTCCTACATTGTGGCTTGTTTAGTTTAAAACTGTTGCCCTTGTATTGTGTTACATCTGACATTTTAAAAAGGGGGTCTGGATCCTCCAATTAGTTCAGTATTTCAAAAGTTGATGAGATCAGCCCTGTCATTTCTGATTTGCAGAGGTGTTAGTCCTATGGCCCTCAGCTGTTTCTGGCATAAGTCAGTTTAGTTTTGGGAAGATTTTTTGTCATTATGCATTGTACTTTTTTTTAAAGCATATATGTCCTTCTTAAGGTCACGTGTCCTAACCTTAAGAAGGTCAATCTTGTTAATCTCGTCAATCTCGTCAATCTTTGTTAATCTTGTTAAAACTGTTGATCATTGTAGCATGGTTGATTTAAGGATTGAGAAACATGGTTGATTGGAGGATTAATGTAATTGCCCACTGGAATGAGTAATTTCAGTAGCTTGTAGGGCTGACTAATGTAATTGACAAGATTGAGTAATATAGTTGCCTGGAGGATAAATATAATTACTGCACTTGGAGGATTAAGTAATATGCCTGGATGATTGATAATATTATTGCCTGGATGACTGAGTAATATAATTGTCAGGATTGAGTAATATAATGGCCAGGATTGAGTAAGGTAATAGCCTGAATAATTTAATTAATTACATGGAGACTTGAATAACATGGTTGCCCGAAGGAGTGAGTAAAAGAATTGAGAAGCGGAATGATTAACAAAATTTGGCTGCTGGATTGAGTTACAAAATTAGTTTTGGATAAAGTAGTAAAATTTGCTGGGGATAAAGGAACAAAATTCCCTGAAGAAAGGTAAACAAAATCTGGGTGATAAATTACAAAATTGGCTGTACAGTATTAAACATTTAAATCTGCTGGAGGGGTAAATAAAAAAAACTGCTAGATTGGGAGTGCAGTAACAAAATTGACTGGAGCTTTAAGGAACAAATTTGGATGGAGGATAGAGAAACAAAATTGGATTGATAATAATGATAAAATGAAATGATGGACAGTGCCACAAAACTAGCTCAAAGATTGAGTAATCAAACTATGTAGTTATTTATAACGCTAGCCATTTTCATTTTAGTTAACAAGATTCAATCCCATTTTCCCGCCAGACTCCGAGACCTCCTCTCGGAGTGGGCAGAACTCAAGTGATATGAGCATCTCCACTTCAGTCATCCCCTCCCCCCCCTACCCCCTGCACATATCATCAGACGGGCCTGGCGAGAGTCTCCTCCCCATCACCCATCATGACAGAAAATTCAAGTTCTTCCCTTCCAAAGGCAGCGTGCTTTCTGTTCGCGAGTTCTTTTGCAAGGAGAAGGAAGATCATGAAGCTTCGAAGATGAAGAGAGAGAAGTGTCAGCTTTACCTTGATCTGAGTTTCGTATGACGCATGTCTTGATTGGTCTAGACATGAAGTGTTGCACACCTCACTTTGAAATATGTTGTACACAGCAAGGATACAGCAGCCATGTCACACTTAGATGTCAGCCATATCACTTAGATAATTATACACATACACATACATACACACACACTCATTCACTCACTCTAGTAGTAATCAATCGTGTTGCTTATATATGCTTTAGATGGATCAAAATATGTCATTGTTGCTTCACACTAATTTACTTCTGCAAGAAATTCTGGCATGCAATCAGAATAATTGCATTACATTTTGAACAAAGAAACCCAAGCAGCATTTTTACTTTGATCAGTGTTATTAACTTTGGTAAATATTTTGTGTACGTTTTATGGTCGCAACATGGAAGATCAGTGTTGTTGAAAATGAGTTTTCCCCCAGTGATTGCAAAAACATGAGAGAGTACATAAATGAGTGTAAAGTGAGATATTTTGACTTGTCAGTGTTAGACACTGTAGATGAATATTGCACCATGCCAGTATAACATGGCTGGCACTTGCACTTGTTGATGTGAACACCATGTCACTGTAATGTGGCTGGCACTTGCACTTGTTGACATAATCACCACTCTCCTAGTGAACATCTCTCTCTCCATAGTTTTAATGAGAGTAGCATAATTTTAGTGATAGAAGAATTAGATTGTTGCACAAAATGAGGCTCATATGCAGTGAAATAAATGTTTTTGTAAGTAGCACAGTATTATTTTTAATACAAGACTGGTGAGTGAGAAATTAAACAGATGTTAATGCAATACCAAAATAAATGCTTTTAATTTGAGCAAAGGGTAAGGATTTGTATTATGGATTAATATATTTTAAAGTTCATGTCTATTGTGCACTCTGTCTCTGATACAGTGTAGCTCCAGTCCTAGGGGCTATGTCTCCAGAAATACCTTATCTCTTGGAGTCCCCCCAGAACCCCTGTTTTCAGGAGCCCACTGTTCCAATGAGTTCCCTGCCCTTAGTCCCCATGAGCTGCCTGTTCTCAGGATCCCCCATCCTCAGGATTCCCATTCTCAGGCAACTGTAACCCTAGGAGTTCTCAGGAACCCACTACCCCTGTCCTTATGTGGGCCCCCCCTAGGCCCCAAGAGCCCTAAACTGTCCCCAAAACCCTTATTTTCCCAGGAGCTCTCTATCTCCAGAGACACTCCTGGTCCCCTGGAGCCCTCTTCCTGTCCACAGGAGCCCCCCTGGCCCCAAATGCCTCTTGCGTCCAAAAACCCCTCTGTCCATAGGAGCATCAGGCTTCAGGAGCTTCCCCTATCCACAGGAGCCCGCTGTACACAGGAGCCCTATTGACCCCCACTGGCCCCAGAAGACCCCCCCCAGTCCCCAGGAGCACCCTGTCCCCTTCAAATGTAGTTTAAAAATGCTTAGATATCGGTGTTATTAATTTAGATTTTCCTTAAACACCCACAATGAGTGCCAGAGTTTTACTGAAAATAATTACAAAATAATATTTGTGCACAGTATTTGTTGCGGGTAAGAGCATAAAACTCTTAATAAGTATATCAAAACTTGAGCTATAAACATACAAATATAAAAGTGGGTGGTTGAAATATGTGTTGCTCGACTCTTTGCAGAAATTGTGTGGTGTTAGCATGTGATGCATTATTCTCTTCTTAATATTGTTTGCATCTTTCTAAAAGTGCCTACTTGTTTACAGATTCACCTTTCTTGTCTGACCATCCATGCCCCCAAAGAGAGGGAATGACCAGCTCCGGTGGGAGCACAAGGAAGAAGAAGAAGCTTAATGAGCTCAGAGCTTTTGTTGAGACAAAATTGAGGTCATGTTCAGAGAAGGCCCTTGAGAAAATAGGTCATGAAGATTCTCGAAGGTCATCAGTGTCCGAGGAACCGGTAACTATCTCTTTTCCTTTTCTGATTCATAACTTTTCCAATTATTCAGCTATTGACAACTGTTGACCTAACCTGAGAGGTAGCAGTACTGCAGTTAACTACCATTGTAAGGTATCTTGTTGTAAAGCTATAAGAATTAGAGACACCTGTGGAGAGTACTGTATATCTTTTTCTCCAGTTCAAAATCAAGTTTTGGACACTAACTTAACAGAGAATTCCTTACACAGATGTAACTGAGGTGATCGCTAGCCTTAGAAATTTAATATTAAACAACAAGCTTAAAAAGGTTTTAAAAAAATCACCTAATACTAATAGGAGATTTTAATACTGTATTGACCTTTCTTCTCTCTCATTTCCATGGATTGGACCGTTGACAACCAGTCTTACTGTTGGCTCTGTGAGACCTTCGATTGCTCTGAGGTGGACCTCTTCGCATTGGCATAGAACTGGTGCCTTCCCTCCTATGTGGCTCTGTTTCCTGACTATGAGATACTCATGGTGGATGTCTTTTGAATGAGCTGTTCGAGGTGGAGGTTCATTTACCTCCTCCCCTCCCTAGTTCAGTTGTTCTTCCGGATTTTGTCCAATCTAGAGTCATACTTGAAGAGAGTGAACCTTCTGGGTCTTTGGCAGTTGTGTCAAACCTTAGTTTCCAGCACTTCTTGCCCGGTGTCTGAACCTGGGCATTTTCCCATGGCTTCGCCTCTTTCAGCAGATTGGCCTAACGGTGTACAGTATTTCGCTGGTTCGACCTCCTCTGCTCTATGCATCTGGAGTTTTTTTATGAGAGTCTTTTGCCATTTGTATTGGCAAGCAGATAGCTGGTTTGTTGGTGTCCTACCTGTGTCTTTCCTTGCAGTGGCACCAGTGTCCTGCTAGAAAGAGGCATGTCATTACATTCAACACTGATTTGTTGCATAAATTTCTTAACCATATAAATTTTGTTTTTCTTTGTCTACTCTGAATATCTCTTCTAATTAATGAAAAATTCTTCTCAAATATGAATGTTCCATGTCAACAACTGAATAGGTAATATGAATGTTTCATGTCAATTGAATAGCAAATTATGAAACTTCAAATTAATATAATTTCATTTAAATAATTTAATACAGTGTAATATGATCTGCAGTATGTCTTACCAATGTTAAGGGTGACTGTTTAGTTATTAATCACATTTTTTGGGTTCAGTATTTACTGTGTTATTTAAGATGTTTGGGTTTGTTATTGAGAAGTGAAAAGTTGATTAGAGAAATAAAGCTAAGAAAAGAATAAGATTGATATTGCATAATTTGTAGGAGCCAGAAAAATAATGAAACAAAGTATGAAGGAGAAAGTAATTTGAAAGAGATGAAGAATGTCCATTGGAAGCACAGAGTAGTCATAGGGAATCACTTAGATATAAAGAAGAAACTACTTCTTGAATGGTGTTGCTGCCATTTGACTAGAGAAAACAAAATAACTGTTAATATGATGATAATTAATTTTGTTGCACCTATTATGTCAGTGTTACTATGTGCTGTATGTAAGGAAGATGGCCATGTCTGGGAGAACCTCCTGTGGCTCCCTGAAGTTATCTCACTGAGATTGCTCCATGTAAGTGGTTCACATCAGATGAGGGAACTCTGTTTGGCTTACTATATAGCTTCTCTGACTTTTTGGATGCTTTCCCCAATGTGGTGCCGAACTGTCACTCACTCTCTGCGACTGTGTGAGTGTGTGGGATGGGGGGGGGGCCTAGGTTTTGGGTCTGGTCCCCTCTAGCCCAAACAGAAGTCATGCATCTGATATGATTTACTGACATGGAGCAATTTCAATGAGACAGTTACAGTGAGCCACAGAGGCTCATTCCAGAAAGAGGAATTTCACTACATTCAATGCTGGACTTTTTGAAGAATGAGCTCTCAAGCCATGTGAGTTCCTCCACAGGGTGGGGGTGCCGGGGAGTTTGGTGGCAGTTCTTGGGGCATTGATGGAGAAAAATCAAGACCACACTCTGCTATGGATAAGTTTGTGGAGGAATTACGTCAGCCATGCCCTCCATCACCTAGATTTCCTCCTGCGGGTCTGGTAAAGGGCAAGAGTATGCCATCACTCAGGTAAGTTCTTACAAGACATCACCATTAATTATCCTCCAACTTCCAAAGAGGTCTTGTGAATTAGTTAGTAATGAACCCTCTTTGGGTGTTACATATGTAGTTTTACTTTATTTAAGACTATTACATAAAAGGGGTTACAACATTGGTTACATGCAAGATACAAGGATGGTTGTCACAGGTTGTTGAGTTCCTGCAGCTCCTCAGATGGCAGGCAGGAACCATGGATGCAGTGTGTGTTTTTCCTCTGTATTGCCATGCTGAATCTCTGGAAGAAGAGGCTGGCAGTTCTAGGGTCTCTTGTTTCAATTAGTTTAGAACCCAGCTCCTTCTAAAAACTGGTGGCACATTTATCCCAGACACTGGGTGTCTCAGAGGCAATGTTCCCTATGTTGCCAGTAATTCTTTTTGTATGCATTTTGTGTGCACTAACATCATGGACACATTTGTCAAAAGTTTTTGCGAAATATATGTGATTACATCAACATTCTGCTTGTCTTCCATGGCATCTAAGGCCATTTCATAGAACTAAGTCAACTTTCATACTAGGGGCAGTTAAAGGCCACAGAGCTAACAACACTGCAAACCAGACATGACAGGGACTGATCTCATCAAAACTTTTAATATACTGTACTGAACAATTTGGAGGATATTGATCCAGACAACTTTTGTACAAGGCCAAATGTAACACAAACAAGAAGCAATGGTTTCAAGCTCAACAAGCCACAATGTAAAACAGAAAACATGAGATGCTTTTTCACCCATAGTGTTGTAAACCCATTGGGTTGCCTACCTGCCAAAGCTGTAAATGCCAAAACACTGCTAAATTTTAAAATCCATGTTGATAAGATCATCAGGACAAATGGAGAGACCTTTGACAAGCCGCTGACTTCCTGAATGCATCGAGGTCACTAGAGAGGTTGTAGCCCTCAAGTAAATTCAGATATTGTATAGTGGTCTAGCAATTTTAAGAGGCAGGAATGCCCTCTTCTGAATCCCTGTGGCCCGGGGTTATGTCTGTATTGTGATTCCATGCTTTTTTTTATCTAGCTTCTAGGCACTCTTTCAAAGATTTTTATAATGCGTGATGTTAGAACTATTGGTCTGTAATTTTTTTGCATCTGCTTCACAACATGTTTTGTGAAGTGGCATGATCTCCTCTGTTGTACATATGTCAGGAATAACACCAGTATTTAGGCTCCATCTCCAAAAGATGTTTAGGATTTATGATTATGGTTTTTTGCATTTCGTGATAAATATAGAATTCCAGTACTTTGAGCCTGGTATAGAGTGCATGGGCATGCTGTCTATGGTTACTTCAAAGTCCAGTGGGTTTATGGTGACATCTAATATATGGTTTGGTTTGTTGGTAGTGTCACATTCACAAAGAATGTGTTTGAATCATTGATCTTCAATGTATTCAGGGAGTTCACTGGAAGCAGAATCGTACTGTATCCTCAGTATTTTGCTTATTTCTTTGTTATCATCTGTGAAAGTTCCATCACCCATGCACAAGGGCCCAATGCAAAATACCTATGTGATATTAATTGATCCGCAGTCATGTATGTAATATTAATTGAGCTACAGTCACCTATGTAATATTAATTGATCTAAAATTGCCTATGCAATGTTAATTAATCTATAGTCACCTGTGTAATACTAATTAATGTAGTCACTGTGCACTATTAATTAATCTACAGTCACCTATGCAATTTAAATTAATCTTCAGCCTCCTATATAATATTAATTGACCTAAAGTCACCTATATAATGTTAGTTGATCTACAGTCACCTTTGTAATATTAATTGATCTACAGTCACATATGTAATATTAATGGATCTACAGTCACATATGTAATATTAATTGATCTACAGTCACATATGTAATATTAATTGATCTATAGTCACATATGTAATATTAATTGATCTTCAGTCACATATGCCATATTAATTATGCTCCTACAAGAAACAAACGAGAGAATATGTTCCATGAAAGTTCAGCATTTGTCAGTAAGTTGTCACATTCCATCCTGCCAACCACTGCCAGGTAAAGCAGAATGCATGACTTATTTTTAGGTGTGATTTATATGCATTTTATCGTGCTATGCATCATGTTTTCCACGTAATCTCTGAATAAAATCGTTATAATGGTTACAGATGCTGTGACCATTACGTAGACTAGCAAGAAGTGTCATCATACATCCTCTGAAGTATGCCATTTTTTCACTTTCACACTAGAACATTTCATTCTAAATCTTCTAAGGCCACCAAAGATTTTTTGGTATACAACGTTATTTTTGCTTGTTATATAGTTTTTCTCTCAGGTTTGTGCTTTCATAGTATCATTTCACGAAATAGCTTAATTACAGTATAATTTATCCTTACCCTTTGAAATATTTTTATAACTTAAAATTAGACTAATTGGAACCATTTAGAAAAAACATAAAAATATATTATACAAATTCTTGTTTAGTTCAGAGCTTGGGAAGCCGCACTAGTCAATAAGTATGCATTATCTCTCAGTCTTATCAATTACTTTGTATTCGTTGCTATGAGAAGCTGTTATATTTTGAGACCCAAAAGATTTGCTTCTATAGTTCTGAGCATTTTCTGATAATGATAGTGTTACTTAACCTTTCCCTGTACTAGTACTTGAGAAGGGATATATGCTCTGTATTACCTAGATTTCCAGAATTACCATTAATTAGCCATTTCTTTTAACCTGGCTAGTAATATTAGGGTGTAAAACATTTTCCATATAGTATACTGTATGTATGTTTTTATTTTTAATTTTGTTAATCATTTTCTTATCCCCATACCACTTAAGGGCAATACTGTATACATAACTATAATAATGTTTAAATATCATTTGATTCTAAGATAAAAATCATTCTTCATGTTACCCATTTTCTATTTCTTATACCATTTAGAGTCCATCATGTTCTTTAATCTTCCATTTGTCAACTGTCTGTTTCTAGTCCATGTCTCGTTAAAATATCTTTTAGGATCCAACTGTACTCTTTCTTTCACAAATTCACTTTACTTTCAGACACACACTCTACTTATAATTAACATTGTCTTATCTTAGCAGCAACTTGCTTACCTTAGTGTGTTCCTTTCTGTTGTCTCCTGCCCAGCCCTGTTGTTCCCTTATAACTGTATACTGTGCACGTAGCATCATAATACACTGTATTCCCATCCTTCTTCAGCACGTCCTTTGGTTCTCCCTGATTTGATCATTATTGCTAACTGTTACATGTGTTCTCACTAGTTTATTTTCATATATTTAGGTAGATCTTCATTCAGCAGGCATGGTGTCATTTTTTTTTTACATCAGCCTAATAATGTTTTTATCCCTGTATGTTGTTATGTTGGACATTAATGCTTTAAATATTTAATAAATGTTATAATCAGGCAGTGGAACAAAGTCCACGAGTCAGCATACTTGGCAGTAATCTGCTTGGTGTAGGATGTTTGCCGTCAATGGATATTCTTTGTAATTCCTTGCTTTCTGTTAACGATGATTCTAAATTAATGCTGCTATAAGCACATATACAACTGTTTTGTGTTTCCTGGCCCATCTATATGTATACAGGTGATGTTCTCTCTGTATAAGAATGAATTAGTCTATGTAATGGTTCATCCTACATCTTTCTGAAGGATTTGTCTAAAGGCAAAATTTTATATAGAAAGAATAATGTTTTCACATGAAGGTCTGAACCTTTTTTGTGTAAGAGTAAATTTCTCTGTCAACAATAGGGATTTGGGATTTGCTTAATATTTATTCAAATTTTCCCTTGGAAACTCATCAAAATGGCAAGAAGCTTGTTACTCATGATAATTATATTAATTATAAATTAAATTACCAATCTGTTGAGGACTGGAATTAAATACATTTTCCACACGTTCTTGAAAACCATAAATGACCTGATGCATCCCTGAATATCATGAAAAGAACCCTTGTAAAAAGCTTTTTAGAAGATATAAGATAGAACCCAGGTAATTAATTGCTTAAATGTGCTCAAACATGAGCTATAGGTTGTCTTTGTATGGATCTAAGTTTAGTTTTTCTGGATCTGGGGACCACCTGATCTTATATTATCTGGGGGACCACCAGATCTTATATTATCTGGGGACCACCAGATCTTATATTATCTGGGGACCACCAGATCTTATATTATCTGGGGGACCACCAGATCTTATATTATCTGGGGACCACCAGATCTTATATTATCTGGGGGACCACCAGATCTTATATTATCTGGGGGACCACCAGATCTTATATTATCTGGGGACCACCAGATCTTATATTATCTGGGGACCACCAGATCTTATATTATCTGGGGACCACCAGATCTTATATTATCTGGGGGACCACCAGATCTTATATTATCTGGGGACCACCAGATCTTATATTATCTGGGGACCACCAGATCTTATATTATCTGGGGGACACCAGATCTTATATTATCTGGGGACCACCGGATCTTATATTATCTGGGGGACCACCAGATCTTATATTATCTGGGGACCACCAGATCTTATATTATCTGGGGACCACCAGATCTTATATTATCTGGGGGACCACCAGATCTTATATTATCTGGGGGACCACCAGATCTTACATTATCTGGGGGACCACCAGATCTTATATTATCTGGGGGACCACCAGATCTTACATTATCTGGGGGACCACCAGATCTTACATTATCTGGGGGACCACCAGATCTTATATTATCTGGGGGACCACCAGATCTTATATTATCTGGGGGACCACCAGATCTTATATTATCTGGGGGACCACCAGATCTTACATTATCTGGGGGACCACCAGATCTTATATTATCTGGGGACCACCAGATCTTACATTATCTGGGGGACCACCAGATCTTACATTATCTGGGGGACCACCAGATCTTACATTATCTGGAGATCACCAGATAATGTATGATCTGGGACCACCAGATCATATATTTTCTGTGAATCACTAGATCTTATATTAGCTGAGGATCACCATATATTATATTATCTGGAAATTGCTAGATATATTATAAGGGGCTCTCCAGATTTGACTATCTGGGGGATCACTAGATCTTATATTATCTGGGATCACCAAATAGCATTAAACTTAGTTATTAGCTGTCCATTGAGCTTGCTTTGAAGTTGCCATTGTCCCTTATTCCAGAGTAACAGATACATATAGATACATATGATTAAAGCTTTTGTTTTCTTAAATACATTTATTTCATCAGCTTTTGAATGTGTAATTACCTGTGTGTATGTGTGTGTGCATACATGTGTTTGTGTGTGTGTGCTTAGACATTGCATTAGTCTTTAAATGAGACAGATATCAATTATAGAATACTTGTATGTATAAATGTACATCAGAGCAGAGGATGTGGAATAAGATTCATGAGAGAGTGGTTGAGTACACCAGAGGAAGCCAGGCCATAGAAAAAGTGAGTCTCTGAGCTGAATACATTACTAAAAGAAAGGAATGTGAAGATTTTGTCAGGAGACGTATAGATGATCGAGGGGTACAAGGGCTACCTGGGAAGGTGATTTGTTGGTGAATGGGGTCATACATCGTGCCTGAGTAATCTCCTAATAATCATAATAATGATCATGTAATATTTTATTAATACAATATAAATTACATTTGGCATGTTAAAGTAGTTACACAATAGGTAAAACTTAGCTTATTATATAAAGGAACAAGGTATGCACAGGGGGTCTCAGACAAAAGTGTCCACAATTTCTAAAGGTGAAGCGCACTACCAATAGGATGGAAATGATTCATTTTGTTTCATTATCTTGAATGAGTATATGGATGAGTACTGCATATTTATGAGCATATGGATGAGTACTGCATATTTATGAGCATATGGATGCCTGGACTTGAAGGCCACATACAAAATATCCATCTCCCACTTTATTGTGTTTACCAGTCATCAAGTTATTTTGTGTATCATCCTCTTTCATTAAGTATCAAAGAAATTTGCTGGTTTTTAAGGAGTAAGGGACCATCTTATGATTTTTAAATATAAAAAATTCTGATGGAGGTTCAATATTTATGTAGAATAGAAAGTTTCAGGTATGCTATAAGAATCATTTTCTCTGTAGATTGAAATCAAAATTAAGCATTTGAAATCAAATAAAGCATACTAGGGACATTCCATTAAGTCCTTGTGTTATACTTGCTAGTAGACTGGGACATTACAGGACATTTTGGTGTTTCAGATTATATTTTGACTTTTGAAATGTTTGTGTTTTTAAAGGCCAGGCTGTTAAAATTTTGTATGAATTTCTTTTTTAAGGAAGACTTGGCTTGTCTATTCGATGGGTTTTATATGATATGGAATACATAATTTCATATGAAATGGTACTTACTGTGCCTCTATAAAAGTTTTAATCATATATCTGCTAGAGGATTGGCCTTGCATATATTAAAGGGCTTTGCCTTGTCTATGCAAACAGGGCTTGTAATGTATGTTCAGTGTCTAGCTACTGCGCTCCCTTCCCTCCTTGTTAACAGACTTACTCTTGACTGTCCTCTCTCTGTGTTCTTTCTCAATGTTCTCTCCTCGTTCTCTCCCTTATGTGCCTGGACGTGCAGCAGCCTCATTGACGAGCTGCCGTACCTGGGGTAAGTTCTCATATTCTCTGCAACTTGGACACTTCTGTTTCTGCCCAGGAATTTTTTGTTTTTGACAAAATGTGCATTTTGGAAAATTTATAGTACAGTATACATTTTATGGGGAGGGGGGGGGGAAGGGAATGACTATTTTACTGTGACTCAATCTTCATTTTCGTAAATCATTTGGTCAGTCTCGTTGATTGTACTGTATATGGCTTCCATTTTGTTAATTGTAAAGAAATAAGCATATATATATATATATATATGCTATATATATATATGTCGTACCTAGTAGCCAGAACGCACTTCTCAGCCTACTATGCAAGGCCCGATTTGCCTAATAAGCCAAGTTTTCATGAATTAATTGTTTTTCGACTACCTAACCTACCTAACCTAACCTAACCTAACTTTTTCGGCTACCTAACCTAACCTAACCTATGAAGATAGGTTCGGTTAGGTTAGGTAGGGTTGGTTAGGTTCGGTCATATATCTACGTTAATTTTAACTCTAATAAAAAAAATTGACCTCATACATAATGAAATGGGTAGCTTTATCATTTCATAAGAAAAAAATTATAGAAAATATATTAATTCAGGAAAACTTGGCTTATTAGGCAAATCGGGCCTTGCATAGTAGGCCAAGAAGTGCATTCTGGCTACTAGGTACGACATATATATATATATATATATATGTCGTACCTAGTAGCCAGAACTCACTTCTCAGCCTACTATTCAAGGCCCGATTTGCCTAATAAGCCAAGTTTTCCTGAATTAATATATTTACTATAATTTTTTTCTTATGAAATGATAAAGCTACCCTTTTCACTATGTATGAGGTCAATTTTTTTTTATTGGAGTTAAAATTAACGTAGATATATGACCGAACCTAACCAACCCTACCTAACCTAACCTAACCTATATATATAGGTAAGGTTAGGTTAGGTAGCCAAAAAAAGCTTGGTTAGGTTAGGTTAGGTAGGTTAGGTAGACGAAAAAACATTAATTCATGAAAACTTGGCTTATTAGGCAAATCGGGCCTTGCATAGTAGGCTGAGAAGTGAGTTCTGGCTACTAGGTACGACATATATATATATATATATATATATATATATTATGCAAATTATATATATATATATATTATATATATATATATATATATATATATATATATATATATATATATATATATATATATATATATATATATATATATATATATATATATATATATATATATGTCGTACCTAGTAGCCAGAACTCACTTCTCAGCCTACTATGCAAGGCTCGATTTGCCTAATAAGCCAAGTTTTCCTGAATTAATATATTTTCTCTAATTTTTTTCTTATGAAATGATAAAGCTACCCATTTCATTATGTATGAGGTCAATTTTTTTTTACTGGAGTAAAAATTAACGTAGATATATGACCGAACCTAACCAACCCTACCTAACCTAACCTATTTTATAGGTTAGGTTAGGATAGGTAGCCGAAAAAGTTAGGTTAGGTTAGGTTAGGTAGGTTAGGTAGTCGAAAAACAATTAATTCATGAAAACTTGGCTTATTAGGCAAAACGGGCCATGCATAGTAGGCTGAGAAGTGCGTTCTGGCTACTAGGTACGATATATATATATATATATATATATATATATATATATATATATATATATATATATATATATATATATATGTCGTACCTAGTAGCCAGAACTCACTTTTTGGCCTACTATTCAAGGCCTGATTTGCCTAATAAGCCAAGTTTTCCTGAATTTATATATTTTTTCTAATTTTTTTCTTATGAAATGATAAAGCTACCCATTTCATTATGTATGAGGTCAATTTTTTTTTATTGGAGTTAAAATTAACGTAGATATATGACCGAACCTAACCAACCCTACCTAACCTAACCTAACCTATCTTTATAGGTTAGGTTTGGTTAGGTAGCCGAAAATTTAGGTTAGGTTAGGTTAGGTAGGTTAGGTAGTCGAAAAAACATTAATTCATGAAAACTTGGCTTATTAGGCAAATCGGGCCTTGCATAGTAGGCTGAGAAGTGTGTTCTGGCTACTAGGTACGACATATATATATATATATATATATATATATATATATACATATTATATATTATATATATATATATATATATATATATATATATATATATATATATATATATATATATATATATATATATATATATATATATATATAATATATGTATGTATGTATATATGTATGTTATACAGTATGTCATTTTCTGTGGAGAGCCCCTCCAGCTCCCCAGAGCTGTACTGCGCTGATATGCATATATTAAGGCATGGCATCAGTCAATTCGATTGGAGTTCTAGCATACCGGGGACCACGAGCCAGAACCTGGCCCCCTTCCCCCCTCAGAGAGGCACGAGGAGCAATGGCCTATAGAAACCCCCATGTGATTGGAAGCATTCTATGTCTGCATCTACTGGGCTAGGCACCTAGAAAGGTAGGCGTCTCAAAACAAACTCCACCTCCAAAACAATCAATTTTCCGCAACTCTGTTTCTTTTAGCTGGTTCAAGCTGGTTCAGTGATTGGCTGGTTCAATCTTCTCCTCCGATCTTTGCGTCTGGTCTTTCTAAGACAGGGGTTTTCACCATTTGTATGGTGATCAGGTGGCTTTTTTGATGGTGTCCCACCTGTGAGTTTCATCTCAGCAGCAGTATGAAGTCTCTGGCAGTTCTCTAGTTACTTTTTGTCTCTTCGTAGGTTGTCTTTAGTTTTGGATTGGGTTGTCATGTCCTTTCCCTCTTGGTTGTTTCAGGAGCATCATCTTATGCTGAACAATGTCGCCTCGTATCGTGCGGTGCTGGCGTAGCCGCTCCTGCTTGCGTTTGGGGTGGATGTCATTTCAGTCCTGTTTCGCAAGCTGTCTCGTGTATTGTTTCACCTCCGTTCTGCTCATGTGCTGCCTGAGTCGTCTAGGTCGTTGGACCATGTGCTCCCTTTTCTCTCTTCTTCTAGGTTTGTGGTGGCCCCCACAGTTCGGGATTGTTTTGACAAGACTCTTTTCTTGTTGGCATTGACCTCTGGGGGTTGGGTTGGGAAGCTTCATGCTCTCCTCCAGCGCAAGGGTTTTTGCTCTTTTGAAGTTCTTTTTTGAAGAACGAGGCGGCAGCTTTCTGAAAGGGTCCTTGGGTGGTTGATGGTTGGTTGGTTCAGCTGGGGGAAGCATCATGTGTTGTGTTGGGTTGCGGCTCTTCGCCGTTATTTGTGTGCCACAGACTATTACTGGGAATGTGCTTTATGTTGATCCATGTTTCCTTCTTCCCTGTTCCAGGGCTTGGGTCTCCCAAGTCGTCTGCAGGGTTAATCGATCCAGCTAGCCTGCAGTCTGTCTTCGTCCCTATGACATTCGCAAATTTGCTGCTCTAGCTGCCGTTTTTGGTAATATGTCTTGGGCTGACATTTGGGCGCTAGAATTTTGGAGGTACAGGTGTACTGTATAACAGGGTCCTGGCAGCCCGTTACCTTGTTAATGTTCCTGGCCCTAGTTGGGTGTGTGTCGCGTTGGGTCGCAGGTAACAGCCAGTTGTCTCAACTTCGCTTCGAGATGTCGCGTTGGGTCGCAGGTAACAGCCAGTTGTCTCAACTTCGCTTTGAGATGCAAGTGGCAGCCGCCTCCCGGGTAAGTCCGTCTTTTCCTTTTCTGTGGTTGGGTAGCTCCGGGGAGCCGGAGGGGCTCTCCACAGAAAACCAGCATTGAGTGTAGTGAAATGCCATTTTCTGGGTGAGTCCCGGAGGCTCCTTGGCAACCCTCCTTCCCTCCGGTTGGCAGTTTTAGCATTTTGATATTCAGCCTCTGAACTGGGGTTGGATGGCCAGTGCAAAGGGTCTGGGGCTTCCCCCTTCCCCATCCCAGGGAGGGGGGGAGAGCTGCACAGACAGCGGCACAGTGGCGGTTGTGATGTCATGCTTGTTTGTTTGTTTTCAGATTGTGGAGTTCTGCTTGGTAGTTCAGTTTTCGGTAGTAATTTTAACCAGGTGGAGTTTGTTTTAAGATGCCTGCCTTTCTGGGTGCCTAACCCGGTAGATGGCAGGCATAGAATGCTTCCAACCACATGGGGGTTTCTATAGCCATTGTTCCTCGTACCTCTTTGAGGGGCCAGGTTCTGGCTCGTGGTCCCTGGTAGGCTAAAACTTCAATCGAGTTGACTGATGTCATGGTCTAGTACATACATATCAGCCTGGTATAGCTCCGGTGAGCTTCTGGGACTCGCCCAGAAAATGGCATTTCATTACAATTCAATGCTGTTTTTTTCATGGGACATGTAACCCACTTTGGTTATTTTTTTATGGTAAAGAACAGAATAGGTCACCGTGTATAGTAAAACGTTGAAAACAACTGTTTTAGTGCAGTCTCTTTAACATATAAATGTAATTTATGAACATCACTAAATTATTTATCCTTTTCTGACTTCAAAAATGCTTTTTTACTTTCTTTCATAATAGAAAATACTCTGCATGCTCACAGTGTTTCAGAGACATTTATTTCCTTCTTATTTACATGGCTTGTGCAGTGTGTGGATGATATAATGAATGGATTACTGCTTTTATTTTTAATCTGCTATCTTCTTTGACTATATTTCTCCAATTCTTCCTCTTGGCTGATGCCTTCCCACCCCCTCCATAAAAGAGGGAAATGGGGCAGTGATAATGATGTACCATATTGAGTAGCTAACGTCTAGTAGCTCCTTGTAACTTGATGATATTGAAGAACTGCATGATCTGATTAAAATGCCTTTTAGGTAGGCAAAAGAATGCAAAATAATAATAAGTAAAATTATATACAAACTTATTTATTAGCAGGAAGAATAGAACTCGATGGGAACAATGTAACACCAGACAGATTGTTTGTGTAGCACCAAACAGATTGTTTATGTAACACCAGATAAATTGTTTGTGTAGCACCAGATAAATTGTTTGTGTGGCACCAGGTAGATTGTTTGTGTAGCACCAGATAAATTGTTCATGTAACA